TAAGGTTGATTTTATTTCTTGGAAATAATAGTTGTATCCATGACTATCACCTGAGGTTTCTTCTTCAGTGCTAAAAGGGACTATTGTCTAATCAAAGGCATTTGCTATATACTGCATCAACAGGGTTGAAAAAAATAATGGTAATGAAGTCAACTGCCTGAAAGAAGGTCTTTTGTGTTCTTTCTGGTAAAAAGCTGCCAGAAGTCATTTGTTTTCCTAGTCCAGAGTTGAGGACATAAAGAATATGCCGCCATACAGTTGTGACAGAACCAAGGAGGAATGCTTCCTCTTTAAGTTCATGACTCATTCTTGGAAGGAAAGGCAGTGCCATATAGATTTTACCAATAGTACCATCAAACATCTGTTTAAATGACTGAACCCACCTCCACAAATCATTTTAGTTTAATCGAGCTGCCCTTTTCCTTCTTATACCTGTCATTATTTTTCTTGTCCAATTGGTAGCATATTTTTGTCGAAATTGATGGCCATAGAAAGGTGTAGAAAAAGAGATTGCCTTGGAAATTGTATCCTTCTTTAATTTTCACAGGACTGACTTGAGTCTTGATGTTCTTATTAGAGCAGATAAGAAGTGTAACCGGTGTGTACCACTTTTTTTTTTTTTTTCAAAAAGTGGTTGGTTCTAGACATTGAATTTCATACCCTAAATTCCGTTATGGGAATTCCAACACAGCAATGTTAAATAGAATTTTTCTACAGTTATAAAAGCACTGGGGACTACATAGGATATATACATAGGTGGAGAGCAACAACTTCAAATAAATAAAATTTACTTATGGCTAGAGAAAACTCAAGGCAAAAATTAGATATGTTTTTTGAATATCTTTTCTTTAATTGTTTAACCAGTTTTCAATTGGTAAGGAAATATTTCCGCAAAAACTCCGAAAATTAGTAGGCCACCTTTTCAGTTACTTAAGCTCTATTTATTGCATTGCAGTCAATCAAGCTCAGTATGCACATTCACATCAAGACACTCAATTTCTGTATGCATGGACCCTGCTCCACTACATAGAAGTAAATTTAGAGCCCCTAATTCATTTTATATGCCATTTCTTGTCTAAAATCAGCTTTCTGAAACCTGACTTATTTTCATTATATTATGATAAATACATTGTGGTTTAATATTGTGAATGTTGTCTAATTTCCCAGGTGACCTATAACTACAAAAGGATATAAAGGATTCAATATTTAATTTTAATAATAAGAAATGTTTTAATATTTTAAAGTCAGATGCCACTTAAAATATTTTTCTTTCTTCCATTCATCTGTGTTTCCAAATTTGAAATATCAAGAAATTAAATAAAAAATTATAGATAGTATAGATACAGCTTTCAGTCTTATTAATATATACTTAGGTTTTTTTTTTTAAAGTACATTCTTTCTTTTTTTGATAAAAGTCATATTTAACAAGCTTTAACGAACACTATAATGTGGTAGGATTTGGATCATATCATTTTTCCATTTGGTCTTTGTTTCTCACTCATTTGCTCTAATAATTCTGATTATATGTCTTTCCACTATTTTCCCTCTTGAGGTAACTTGGTTTAATGTCATTTTCAATTTTCACTATGTTGCTGAAAGTTCTTTTTCTTTTTTCTAGTCACTGACACAGAGGGGTTTGTTTAATCCTAATTGTAATTCTGTTGACAATCTAGTAGCCAATCTATCCATAACAAAGTACCTGAAATCTATAGAACATCCTATGTTTGAAAAAGATCTTGTCATCCATTAAGGTATACCTGTCACTTTCTACTTTTAGAAACATTGAGGAATATGGCTATTGTCATCTTTTTGTTATATTAAACACTTTCATAAATAAATGTATATCTATGTATTTCAAACACCATAATTTCAGCTTCCAGAACACTATTAACTTTCTGAATACTTCCATCTCTTAACATTTCCTGCTTTTCCATGAAAAGCATTTTCTGCTTGATTTAAAGTTGAATTTATTAAAGTATAATTTACACTGGGTAATATTACCCCTTTTGGGGCTTTTAATGATCACACACAATTATATAGCCCTTACCACTATCAAAATATAGAGCAGTTCCAACACTCTTTTTCCCCACCTTCCCTCATGTCTTGTGGTCAACTCACCACTACTTCCAGTTTTGGGTAACTTTTGATCTGTAGTCTATTGCTTTCCCTTTTCGAGAATGTCCTATAAATGAAATATTTACAGGCTTCCTTCACTTCAGGGCACACATGCATCTGAGATTCATTCACATTTCTACATGTATAATTAGTTTGTTCTGTTTTATTGCTGAGCAGTATGTGTGTACTTGCTCCAAAAGAGCAGCACTTTCCCAGAAGCCTTTCATCTAATTCCAGCCAATTTTCATTGAACAGAATCTGGTCATGTGACCAGGCAATGGTGAAAAGAGGGTATTGAAAATGGGGTTAAGCAAGGTGAGCTAATATAGGGTCTACCTCACACTGGAATTTTTAAATAATACTAAAATATTTAAGACAATAAAACTGTAAGAGCAAAAGACAGAGTCATCAGGGTCTGGTTTTGAACTCAAAGCTTTTTTAAATTTACTAGCTAAACCGTCCTGCATTATTTTCACTGCCTTGATTCTAGCAGGCATTTATGACATTGGAACCTTTATTCTAATGGGCAACATACAGGCAAAGGTACAGTGGGGACATGATCAAGTATGTACATGACAATAATAACTAAAATGCAGTAGTGTTTGGTGATGGGGATACCTGATTTAAACATTAATGCCATTCTCTGAGCAGGAGATGATGAGTTAAGGTTGAACAAAGGGGTTAGATTTGAGCAGAGGGTGGAGATAAATCCACTTAAATGAGCAGAAGAGCAAGTAAGTAAAATGCGTTTGTGAAACAAAATGGCATACTTTCATGGCAATAACATGGACACATGTCAGCAGCTATTCTGATAACCTGGAGAATTTGTACTAACAGATCCCACATTTATTTTCCTTCCCCTTTTAGATTTCCCACTGAAATTAAATACCTCAGTTGTTTAGTGAAGGTATAAGACTAAAAGGTAGAATCAAAATGGTGCTTCTACCTTTCTTGTCAAACCAGTTTGTGTATTTTCTCCCCTAAACATGTCAGCTGGGAAAATTATTCAGCATTTGTGGGGAATCAACCAAATGTATTTGAGAAATGATGAGTGAGCTAAAAAATGCTGGGAAGAGATTAGCCTCAGATATACGATGAATGATCACTGAATGGATGAATAAATCAAATTTTGAATTATACATATTTGATTTATACATGAAAAAGGAGCTGGTTTATTGCTATATTCCTATTTCATCTTTTATTGAAATAACTAATACATAAACTCTCCAAAAAACATTACAACAGATACAAAATAGACTTTTACCTCTGTGCATTATGCACTTGATATTTACAACTTTATTATTTAAATCATTAAAAGGAACATGTAGCCCAATATATTTAACCTTGCTATTTTTTGGGAAAAGATCTTTAAACTATCTATTAGGAACTATTCTTCATATTTCAGTTTATTTAAAATGAAGCAATTTATTTTATCACTGATAGTTTAGAAGGGAATGTTTGTAATCTCATCCCTGGCAGTTTAGAAGGAAAACATCCCTTCAAATATGTTATAATAATTTCTATAGTTGTGTCTAAAATCATGATTAAGACTATGGTGGAGGACTATGGGTGCTTTGGTGATGGAAAAGCTGTATTTCTCAAGGGAGAAATCCTATATTGTGAAAAAACAAACAAGGATGTAAAAGAGTAATAAGTCATTAATAATAATAATAATTAAAAAATAAATTAGTAATGATATCCACAGTTTAAGGAGTGTTATTCAGAGCAAGTGCCTTAAAAGCATTATTTCAAATAAAACAACAACCAAATTGAAGAAATATTCCTTATCCATTTTTCAGATTGGCAAAACGAAAGTCAAAGTATAGAAATGGTAAAACAGAGTTCTTAGAGTGCCCCAATTTTATTCTAAAACTCAAATTTAGATTTGATAGTCCCCAAACCTCAGTGCTTTCTATATCATTCTGGGTGCAGACTTAACTGCATCTTTTCTATTTCATCTAAATATTAACTTGAATATTAATATTAAACTGAACCATAGTTGCTCTATTGCTCTTTGTTACCACTTTAAATAATCTCTCACTTTACTTACCTTTGCTCCTGAATATGTTTCTATATATCTACATTTATGAATACAAATATGAACAACAAAATACATTCCAGCATGCTGGAGAAAGATATTGTAACCCAGTATTGTGGAATAGTAATTGAGAAAATTATTTTGCAAGTGTTAGCCTGACTCAGGAAGTAACCACAACATTTTAATGACACATTTGAGAAATGGGGCTTATATATAATGGTAAAAATTTTTACAGACAAAGTAGTTTTTTAAACCAAATGTAAAAGAGGAGTTTTTGAATAGCCAAAAAAAAAAAAAATCTCCAAATTTTTAAGTAAAAGTGGTTGCCTTCTCTGGCCCAACTCTCATATCTTTCTCTCATTCCCTGAAGTAGGAGGGATTTTGGATTCCAATTATCAGGATAATTGATTCCAACTTATTTCATCTTATGATAGAGAACTTTCATTTTATTTTATTTATTTTTTTTTAAAAGATTTATTTATTTATTTATACAAGCACTGGGTACACAGTCAGAAGCGCGGGAGGGTGAGAGAGTTCACCAGAGCCAGAGCGGGGAGCAGAGCAGGCAGAAGGACCGAAGTACACTGCTGAGGGGAGCAGCGGGCGGCAGGAGAGGTCTGCGCGCCATGTGGGACCCTCCTCAGGTGGCCGGGGAGCAGCCGGGGATCGAACCGGCGCTGCAAGGCTGCGGGCAGCTTCGCAACCCCGCGCTCAACCGCTGCGCCACCAGGGAGGCCCTGAGAACTTTCATTTTATAATGAAAATTTCATGCCTTATCTTCAATGAAAGAATTGATTTTCCTAATGGCCTTACACTTTCTTTTTTTTTTTTTATGTGAACATTTTAGGTGTATCAGTATATGCATGAAACCATAACTGTCAATGGCTGCCCCGAATTCCGTGCCAGGGCCACAGCAAAGGTAAGCCTTGAGTAACTTTAAAAATATACTTGACCCCAGTGATCTAGTAATTGATTGTGCGCGTGTGTGTTTCAGGTATTCTCGTGTGTACACTGTAAGAGAATTTAGACATCAGTGGCAGCCCAGAGTCTAGAACCAGTACTACTTCCCAGGTAAAAATCCTAATGGAAAATTAAACGTTTCTGCTGCTTCTGTAGCTTAAGAAAGGAGAATGATTTCATTCAACTCACTAAATGTCCATTTGGCACAAGCAAATCTACTGGTTCATTGTTTGAAATTTCCCATGGTTTTCTTATACATTCCTCTGATCCTAAAGGACCTGTTCCCTATTCAGTGCATGAATATTTATTTGCATAAGATAATTCTAAATATTTGAATGAGACATGAAAAGAACTCATCTGCTACCCACTGGTGTAGGGTTCTTCCATGTAATCAGCAAAGCAGTGGGTAGCTTGCTGGAAGAATGTGACCTTGACCTCTAGAGGACAGCCCTGTCACTTTTTGTGGTAGCGACCACACTTGCTCTTTCACAATTCAAACCCAGGGGTTGCAGAGACCCTACTTATGAAAATGTTGCAGCAATAGGATCATAAAATTATCTATAAAATAGACCATTAGGAGACAATCTTTTTGAACTAAAATCACCGATGCAGTTCTTACTGTACAAATACAGAGATGTTCTAATAGATATGCAAGTTGCTTTTTAAAAGCTTTTCTCTTTCTAATGATGGATAAGAAATAAGAACTGGTGAAAATAATTAGAATTTTCCATTTAGTTCTTTTGTGTTACATCACCTCTTATTTGGTTTCTCTCCTGATATTTTATTTTCATTCTGTAACTGAACACTGTAGATTTGTACATTTTTTTTAACCCAGACAAAAAGAGGGTATTATTATCATTACATCATGCTTTGCTTGTACTGAAGTGGAACACACACAGAAAAATGATCCCTACATGGTTTAATTAAGGGGAAAGTGAATTATGTAGTGTTTTACCATTCTCATTTCTTATTCATGTAGAACAGCAGGATAGCAGCATAATGTTGCAATAGCACAATATTTTCTGGTTGTTTCTGGGCTGTCTGCATTGCATCCATGTCAGCCATTAAACTCTATGCATGACACAAGGTTTGCATGAGCAAATGCATGCAGCTAAAAACCAGCCATTATTTCCATATCATTCACTATCTTTCACTAAATGCAGACAATAGCATAATGCTAAATTGATGTGATAATACTGTGTGTGGAAAAGAATATATAGTACTTGGGAATCAATATTTTCACAGTGTTGACTAAATCACTTTATAGTAAGTATCTAATCAACTGTGGTTAAGGCAGGTTAATGGAAGCAGAAAATAAAAAGCAGGCAGAGAATCTTTCCTGGATAAAAGTGACTTAAATGCTGTTATTTTGTTTCCTTGGGGGTGGGAAGTAATGGTAAGTTGTTTCCTTCAACATCCTTTTATAAATATATGAATTTTAAAATAAAGCTATACCTATGTGAAGTGGTATTTTATACATATAGGTATAAAACCATAGGCTGCTCATTTTGCCTACATTGCTATAGTAGTTGAAATAGTAATGTAAAGTGGAGGGGAAAAAAAAAACCTGTGCCTGATAAGATAAAATCCTACAATAATATGGAATATTAATGTGAAGTACTATTAATATGTTTGAATCTATCATTTTATTTTAGCTGTTGTTCTTTTAGATATCCTCAAATTAAAAAAAATTCAAGTTCAATTTTTAAACATGAACAAAATTGTCTAAGTTGGTGTACTCACAATAGGAAAATTATATATGTACTCATCCAATGTGTATTTACACATACAAATGTCCTCAGTATGAACAAATATTTACGCACATTTATGTGCAAGCGGAGAGTTAGACTATGTCATACAAAGGGGTCTAAGTTACAATCTCTGCCTCTTAAGGTGCACACAGTCAACATATGTGCTTAATAATTATAGTATATGTACCATATGTAGGTAGTATATGTGCCAAAGCTAATTGGATTCTAAGAACAGGAGGAAATGCTAAAGGAGGTAATTGGGAGAGATTTTTATAAAGAAGAGACATTTTTTTTCTCATAATGGATATGCTCTAGAAAACTGGAAATAGCTGGCTGAGCTTTACAGAGAAAAGAATCATACATGACAGCTATATGAAGAACGCCCTCCCTTCTGTGTTCTTTCTTTCACAGGAGAATGCTATAAAAATATGAGGAATTACCTGATCTACCCACTGCAAAGCCTGTGATTAGTCTTATTTTCCATGATTTATTTATTTATTTTTCCATGACCATCTTTTCTTTCAGGCAACAGTTGCAGCTTTTGCAGCTAGCGAAGGCCACTCCCACCCTCGGGTAGTCGAACTGCCAAAGACTGATGAAGGCCTTGGTTTTAACGTGATGGGAGGAAAAGAGCAAAATTCCCCCATTTATATATCTCGCATCATTCCTGGAGGGGTGGCTGAAAGACATGGAGGCCTCAAAAGAGGAGACCAGCTGCTATCAGTGAATGGAGTGGTATGTTGAACAATCGGAGATTTTCTCCCTTATCATTTTTTTTTTCTATTTCTGACGTCAATACTGAGATCCTAGTACAAGTGGTTATTTTGTGTTCAAACAGCTTCCTAAGTCGATATACAGAAAAGCTGTAATTTTATATTTTTTATTTCTCATTGCATCTCATTCAGGTGTGACAAATATGAATGAGCTAGAAAATCGTCCCAAGAAATTATCTCAACTATATAGGAAAAATTCTCTATATAACACTCTGATTTAATGTTTAGAAGAACATAGTAATCTTAAAGTTCTTTTTATCAAAAGTTATTATAAGCAACGATACATGTTAAAATAAAGATAAAACTCTTTAACCTAAAATGTGTGTAGGGATTTTTAAATTGCAATTAGAAGGAAGAGTATTTTTAATATGTAATAATAGTAACACACAAGAAAAATGCACAAATAATTCTTTAAGCCTACTGTACAGCAATTGAGTGGGAGGAAAGGAAAAAAAATCCCCCATTTAAACCTCTTCCTTCAAAAAGTTTTATTACATTATTTTTTGATGTCTGTTATTTTATTTTTTATAAAAAATTATTTTACTTTATATATACTATATATATATATATATATATATATATATATATATATATATCATTCTTCCTTTTTGTACAATGTTTGCTTTCTCTGCTCAGATGCAGTCCCTGTAAAAAATTCCCACCACGAATTCACCCGTGCACCATCACCAAAGCCCCTTATGTAAGAATATACTCCCTCTCTTGTTTTGATCATTCTCCCTTTATTAGCCATATATATTTTAGTTTTCACATGAAAGTTAATTTAAAAGTGTGGCTTTTTAAAATAAAAGTATGGACATGTATTTTTTTCATAACTTCATATTCTTTGGATGTCCTCACCATGTAAGAACAGGTCGCTAAAGAAATAACGTTATGAGAAGTATGTAATTCCCCCCATAACTTCTTACATTAAACATAAATAACCTAAAAGCTTAAATTTCAGAAATTCAAATTAGAACATATCAATGCTTACCTTTCTATTAACCTCAGGTCTTTTTTTTCCTAAGAACTCAAACTTTTAATAAAGAAGTTAGTTTTGGGTTGTGAACATATTAATCTCTGCTTAGATCACAAAATCCAAAATAAAATACATTTGGAATGTGATATCTTATTGGTAACCATGGAGTAAAATTTCACATTTACATCTTGTGATTTTTTAATTTCTTTTGACTTTTTTCCTGGCTCCAGTTTCATAGAACCTAAAACCATTCACTCAAATTTGCTGATCTCTGATGTATATGGAAAACACTAATCTATGAATATTTTATGTCACGGCAGCATTCCAGCCTTAAAATTACTGTCTCATTTACTTTTTCCATCTAACAATGCTTTGGGGTAAGCTTTTTTTATTGACTTTTAGAGGACTATGGCTTTTTTAAAGCATATTTCAACTAATAATTTCAGAGGTGACCTTACCAGTAGAGGCTTTAGAGCGAGGTCATGAAATTATGCCACATAGTGATCTATAACTCAGTGTATGAATTTATGTTTTTTTCCTGATAAAAAAGCATAGATAAAAAGATTGTGTAGATTTTAAAACTTTATGAAAAGGAAAAAAACCCAAAATATAACACTATTAGCTATAACTATAAAAAGCAATAATAAATACATGTAAAATCAACTTAAAAGATGTTTGTTTTCTAACTATCAAAGGAACTAGAGCACTTTTGTTTAACCCATGTATTTTTCAGGACACACAGCTATAGGAATTTCATAATCACTTATCCATCCCTTGTAATCATCATGCAAATTTATCTGGGAAGCTGGAGGGGATATTAGAACTGTGAAATGAGACAGATCAGGCTCTACCCTTCAATATTCCTATAATTGTACTTTAATATCCTCTAAATCTAAGTTTCCTCATCTGAAAAAAGGGAGGCATAACTAATTTGAGGGGCTCTCTTAAAGATTAAAATGAGACAAAATGTCTATTGAGAACTGCTCTGTGATTACGAGGTCTCACACAACGTTGAGTCAAGTACAGTTACCGAAGAAGGCTGAAGAGGGTTAGCAATCTCCTTCTAATGTTGCTAATGCTATTTATATAAAAATGAAGCTTTAAGGCAAATTCTGCTACACATAGAGGCATATTTTAGCAAACATCTGTTAGCAAGAAGGTATTAATAGACTCATATAACCTCTTCCATAAATTCAGTGAAGTTCAATGAATTTCCTAGTTCTCTGTCCACTCAGATGTTTCCCTCTCCATGAAACAAGGGTCCCTTGAGGTAGATGAAACAACATTCCAGGACCAGGAATTTGTTACCCCTATATTCAGTATCCTGCAACCAGAAGTCCTAATAAACCAGTGGTTGAAAATAGGACAGTTTAATATTCAAATTTAAACCACTAACCCCAGTCTGGTCTATGGTCCTTCTTAAGATTTTTGCACCTTGTCCGTACAAAGGTGGGAAATGTTTCCAAACATCTTTAATATTCCACATATACTTAAAACCTTTAATTTTACCAAGTAAGTTACATTTATTATGTTAGGTAGCGTCATTAATTTCACCAGTGGGAATTGATTTTCGACATATTTTGCTAACAAGCAAAACATCGTGTATGGTGCAGGATAGAATTGGACTTTCAGAATGAACTTGATGGTGCACGTATACATGCTGAAATTTATATGTCATAATGCAATGTGACATCAAGAAAAAAATTAGGAAATAATTAATAAAACCATTAAAAAAAATTAAAATAGGTATAACAACTGCATTTTAGCATGGCCAGCATGCAGAGTTGCCTTTCTGGTATCATGCTGGCTAAGCACCCTGCACTCATCTATGCTTCTAGAATAGGAGTTTAAAATATTGCAGATGGGGCCTCCCTGGTGGCACAAGGGGTTAAGATGCAACCTATGAAGTTATACGCAGCCACCGCAACGCGAGTTTGATCCCCAGTCAGGGAGTTACCCACATGGTGCAGCAGACCTCTCCTGACTTGCCCACTGCTCCCCTCAGCAGTGTATTTTAGCCAATCTTCATGTTCTGCTCCCCACTCTGTCTCTGGTGAATCCTCTCACCCCCCACACCTCTGGCCTACACCCCAGTTCTTGTATAAATTAATAAATCTTTTAAAAAATTGCAGATTCATGTAATCAAACTAGGTATTATAAACTATATTTTGAAGTACTTAATAGCAATTTATATACATTTTAACAGTGTCTACTACTTATCAGATGTTTATCAGAAGATGAGCTTTCCTTCTGTAAATGAGAAACTTTATGACCCAGTGGGTTTCCCGTAGTAACACACAGAAGATTTAATCGAAGGCACAAGCCCTGGGCTTCTAACACCAAATCCAGAAGTCTTTTGTAATTCCAGGCAGATAATAGTATTTAATGAAAATAAATTACTCTGCAATGGAAGGTTCAAAAAAGAGAAGTTATTAGTAAATGATCAAATGATTTCTGTTTATACTTTAAAATAAAGTACCATTTGGGGAAATGAATATGGAAATTTTCAGAATATGCCATTCTTAACTGGGGGAATACATTTTTGGAAAGTGCTGATTTGAAGGACTGAGAGTAATTAGGATTAACAAATCTTAACTATTTCAGTGTGAGTACTCAGGAAAATTTTTTAGTATCCAACTTAAAAAACAAAGAATTATTACATGGCCCTTTACATCTGAGAAGACATTTAAAAAGAGTCTTGATTATGTTTATTTCTATACTCTGCCTACTTTTCAAAAGGATAGGATGTCTGTTAAAAAAGAAAATATGGCTGGAGTCGCGAGAGCCGCTTCCTCACGCGTCTTCCCGGGGGCTACTTCGTGTGGGCTGTGTCCTCTTCTCTCAGTCCTGGCCTCCACCCTTTAAATGCCATTGAGATTAAGGGGGCGGAGCAACATGGCGGCGAGGAGACGCTGCAAGTAAGATCTCCCATTAAAAAAAGTTAATAGGGAGGAAAAGCGGCAGGTCCCAGTGAGAAGTGGGACACGGAAGATAAACGGGTGACGCCAGCGAACTGCCCGAAGAAGAAAGTGGCCATAAAAGAGGACTAGAAGGGAGGGAAGCACAGAACCCTGCTCCCCTCCCCCGCCCACAGAGGCGGCACTCTCCGACCGGCGGAGAGGAGGAAACAACAAACTAAAACGGCCCACAAGAACAAACGACGCAGCAAGCGGGACTGTGAGTGGAAAGGAACTATTGCAGCCACCACACCCCGTGAACGGGAGCTGAGGCGAACCCTGCAGGATTTGCCGCGGCGGTGAGGGAACGGCTCCGGGCGCCATTAGAGAAGAACAAAGACCCCGGGAGACGCGCACACAGCCAGGGCTGCCGGTAAGCTGGCGCGGAAACGCGGCGCGCTCGGGGAGCTTGAAAAGCAAGTGCAGACCTGGATCGCGGATGCCCAGGTCCCCGCGCCTGCGACCTAGGCTTGCGGGGAGACGACCTAGGCTTGCGGGGAGACGCACGGAGGTCCTCACTGAGGTGAAGGTCCCTCCCTGAGTGAGCAGGAACCAGGCGCCCAGGCACGGGAGCTGTGCAAAAGGCGCCATTCCCGCGCCACTGAACTGGGCTACAGCCCGCGTCCTGGAACTGAGGGCTTTGAACTGAGACCTGGGGCACGAAAATTCGGGGCGTGGGTTCTCCACGATGGTGGGGCACAAGGCAGACACAGCACCCCAAAGCTGTTGAGGTGTACCCTACCATTCCCGCTCTGTTCTCTGTCCCACGGGGTGGGGGGAGGCGAAAAACAGCCCCCCAAGGACAATAGGAGAGATCTCTGGCGCCACCTAGCGACCAGGAAAAAAAAAGTCACTAACACCCTATAAAACAGGACATTTCTTAAGACTGCTTGAAAAGGGCAGAAGGTTTCTGGAGGACCCAGTGGCCAGCCGGGAAGTTATTCCACGCCAGGCCCCTTCCGACCAGCAGTCTGAGCCCACAGAGGGAGCAGGCACCCACGTCCGGGGCAGACCGGGTGCGCAGAAGAG